CCGGCATCAAGGTTGCACACGACTCAACAGCCTTTCTAGACGGAGACGAACAAGTCCTTACTCTGAAAGATACGACAATCGATGAGAACGAGGAAGAGGGAGATGAGCTTGAGAACCTAAACATTAAAGAGCAAGAGAAGCTCACCGAGAGACTGGATCTCAAGAAGAAGCTAAAAGGCTACAACCCTAATGATTATGACGATGGCGAAGGCACTATTCTGGCACAGTACGACGAGGAGATCAACGGCAAAAAGGCGAAGAAATTTACTCTTGATGACGATGGCGCTATCGCCGAGCTTTCAGACATCCTTGGTCAACCCGAGCGAAAAGGAAAGAAAATTCAGTCAATAAGCCTTGACGATATTATAGGTGCGTACACATGTCCCTTTATTTCTACAATCTTCCAATGCGACCACCGCTAAAAACTTATTATAGATGGCGCAGCACCCTCATCCGACTATCTTGCTCCCTCAGAGATCAAGGTGAAGAAGCCAAAGAAGAAGAAGGGAAGCAAGGGGACCAGGCAAAAACAGCATGATGAGGATGACATCTTCCCTCTAGAAGCAGCGCCGGCGGATACCGGCGCCATGGATGTTGATTCCAAAGAGTCTTTAATGGCCAAGAAGCGGAAAGCTACTACTTCGGATGCCTTTGCTGATGACGACGATCTCCAAGCGTCACTAGCAATCCAACGGAAGAATGCTCTAAAAAAGCGCAAAAGGACACGCCCTGAAGACATCGCAAGACAACTCAAGGAGGATGAGGAGGAGCCTGAGGAAACCCAAAGCGGCGGTCTTGTCATTGGTGAGATTTCCGAATTTGTCGCTGGCTTGAGCAAGCCAGACGACGAAGACCGCCAGTCGAGGAGGCAAAAGCAGGCCACAAAAAGTCCCGAGTTGGACGAAGATCGTCATATGGGTGATGAAGATGAAGATGCAGAAATGGACGACTACGCGGCGGAACACCAAGAAGCCCTTCTCGCGGCCCAGAAAGAAGAGGAAGAGAGAACCAAAAGGGAACAGGATGATGAAGATGATGCGGGAATTGAAGATGAAAAGGTTGTCGGCGCGGGTATGGGTGCAGCCCTCGCTTTGCTCCGAGAGCGGGGTCTTCTTGAATCTTCTGATAGAGGAAACTATGAAGATTTCAAAGCTCGCGAAGATTTTCTTGCAAAGAAACGAGTATTGGAAGGAGAACTGGATGAGCAGACACGACAGCAGAGAGAACGTGATAGGATGAGCGGCAGACTAGACCGGATGTCTGTAAGGGAAAGGGAGGAATGGGCTCGCCAGCAAAACACTCACAGAGACCACCAGCAATCGAAGCGGATGGCCGAGCTCTTCAACGCAGGATACAAGCCAAACGTCGAGTTGAAGTATGTCGACGACCATGGCCGGAGATTGGATCAAAAGGAGGCGTTTAAGCATCTCAGCCACCAGTTCCACGGAAAGGGCAGCGGCAAGGGCAAGACGGAGAAGCGTTTGAAGAAGATTGACGACGAGAAGCGGCGCGAGGCACAGAGCATGTTTGACGCAAGCCAGAACGCCGGTATGAATCTGGCGACGGCGCAGCAGTTGAAGAAGCGCAGGGAAGCAGGAGTACGGCTCGGCTGACGGACTGTGTGGGAATTTCCTTATATTTGTTTCCCTGTGCCGGGATACTTGCATCCACTACTAACCATACCCCTTTGTTGGACTTTTTGTTAGGGATATCTATCAAACCAAAGGTGCATACTCCTTTTCTTGTTATGATTTACCTCTCTTGCTCTCTGTGTTTTGTCTCTTGCTGACACTGTTAGAGCGGTATCGACACGGTGCGCGTCTGTGTGTTCCTACCCAGGTTCGTCACTTGAGATTCCCTTTCGCACTGCGTAGCGTCGTGATGCCATCTAGTCTAATGCATTGTAGTGTGATACGCATGTCTGTACCCTTTTCCTGTAATCCGTTTTTTAAAAACATCGCTCTCGTAGATTGACGGCCATCATAGAGGTTACGTTTACCTTTTGCTTACCAACATCCCATGTCCAAAGTTTAGTAGTGTTTCAACACATAAAAGGTGCATGGTTCGATTCACTAGCAATATGGAAACATGCATGTATAACAATATACTTGGTAGAACTGACAGCTAGTTGATTCGTATCCAGGTTTCGTCTAGAAACCGATTAGCTTCAATCGCTCGCTGTCATGGGCGATTTAGCCGTTCTAATCAACATACTAAGAAAGGTGATAGGCAGAATCCTTGGTAGAACTATGCCGATTCATTAGGTATTATCTTCGTTCCGTTTATAAACTAATGAGATGCACCGCTTAGATTGTTCTCTGTCATAGGCGATTTAGCCGTTCTAATCAACATAGTAGGTACTAAGAAAGGCAATGGGCAAAGCGCTTGACAGAACTGGCAGCTACCTAAGTATGTAGTTTATTAATATCCTGTTTCTAGTTAACCACTGAATTAGTAGCTTTGGAATCTTCATACGAGAGGCAGATCTCGAACGGCATTTGGCGGAAAATTGTCTTCCGCATGACGAAGATGATTGGGAGTCGGCAATAGCGCCGGTGGAACATCTTCTAGCCCACCCGTGATGCTAATCCTATATCGTTTCATTCTGGCCGCTAGGGCGGAAACAAATAGCTGATGAGACCTTGATAACGTGAGCATTGCATGAATCTCGGATGAAAATGTAACCATACAAACGCTAATTGATGGCTCTCATGCTCGAAAGAAGCTTGGATCCGAGAATTTTTCAACTATTCTGTTAGTAGGAGAAATTTGAACTGCCCATGTATTTATTTGCTTGAAGTAGGTGCTTCTCAATTGGAAAGACATTCAACTGGTAGTGACGAAGAGACTCAAGGTTTTCTAAGCTCTAGAGTCTCAATTATTGATATGATTGCTTCTCGCCGAGACTGATACTCAACGAGAATATTAAATGACAATGATACAACTGTTTCATAGGTATGAAGGTGTACTATCCGCAAATAGCAAGAGTTGTAGGTGGCGGCAGTAGCATTTTAAGCCGACGGGTCATGTTAACACGGCACCGGTACAATGATTGCCTAAGCCTTACAAAGGCGGCACGGAGATGCATTTTCTCGTCCGGACATTATGTTATATATGTGTCATAATCTGTGACTGGGTACATAAACTTGAAGCTTATAACTACCTGCTGTTGCCAGCTTAGGAGAGCACTTCTCTCAACATCCTCAACCGAACCAGCCAGCCACCTCGACATCCTTCCACCATGCAATTCCCCATCATTGGTGTGAGTTGAACATAGTATCCAATCATTGAATATCTTGAGTGTTGAATGAATTATATATAGACACTCCTCGCAATGGCAATTGCCCCCGCGGCTGCCACCGACGGACTCACCTTCGACATCTTCTTCACTCCCGGCAGCGTCCCTACCACTCAACACTGCACAGCAAACGGCGTCCAGACTCTCAGCGAGACTGTGACCAATGGCGGATGCCAAGCATGGGCGTTTCAGTTTGGAGATGCCGTCAAGTTGGCGCCTGGGCAGACCATCCCTGCTTCTTTGCAGACCAACGAGAAGCAGACTTGCACAGTCTACTTTGTTCAGCAGGCTGGCGATACGCCTTCGAGGCACTGCACGGATGTCGTTTTGGGCACGACGGCGGACTTGACCGATGAGTGCTATGTTGCGCCTCCAGGAACATACGGCTTGAACATTGTTTGTGCAAAGAATCAGTAGCCAGTGAGTGTTGGTTGTACGGGATGCTATGGATAGGTACATGGAGTGATGGATCCTGAGACGGGTTGAACCTCGTATAAGGGACTCGGGAGTCGTACAAGATGGATACATGCATGTATTATCGTCCATTGTTACGGTAGCCCAGCTGAAACAGGATGTATGGTCATCAGCCATAGCATGATGTTATAGAACGACTTGAAGCAGTGATGCTTTGAGACTTTTACCAAATGTTAACACATAGATGTAGTATCCGTGTTTTATTCCAGCATTTTACACGGATCGCGACATCATCTTGGATTAGATCTACAATTTGAAGCGCGGTGATCTGGATACGCGCTTGTTATACCACACCAAGCAGCTGCATGTTGCCATGGTCAGATGGACGCAGCCTTGCCACCCGATGGCCAAAGTTCCGATGAAGCAAATTCCGCCTTGTTTGTTGTCAGTGTTGGCTGCGCCCAGCGCCTATCTCACGATGGTTATTGGCTGTCAGCTCATATAAGTGAGGCAAAGGCGGGCTGTTGCCTTGCTATTGGAGAGCACCCCTGTCCACCCCGCGGTTTACAACTCGAATTTAGAAAATGGCATCGATTGAGAGTGTTTTGTCAGTCTGGCAGGTGGTGATCTATATATGTTCTTGTATTCTTCTTCCTTTCTGCCCTTCACGCATGTCATTTTCGGTATCCTCTCAACTCCTGAAATAGTACTGTGAAAGATGAGTGGTTCACCATCTAAAAGAGACAGGGTGAAATCTTTCCTCAAAAGATCCAAGTCCTCTGAAAGAAACTCTTCATTAGCTGCAAAAACGGCCTCTACATCCTTACATGGAAACTCACACTCCGCGCCGCAACTTCTGACAAAAGTGTCATCGAACTCTTTGCGCACGAATGCATCGGTAACCGATAACGCACTCTCTCAAAGTTCTGAGAACCTGTCTAGTTCTCATTCTTTATCTCTACTATCGGCCGTTAAGCCATCTGTCTCTCCTAGTCCCAATCAATCATCAATATCAAATTCTCTTCCGGCCATTATAATATCGCCTCCTGTTCCCATTACCGAGGCAGCGCCCGTCACTACAGCTACTAAACAAATACCCGAGACTCCAACTCCACCCTTGAATCTCTGGAACGATGTTTTCGAAAAAGTCAACGAAGAAACCAAAAAATGGATCCGAACCCATCATCTCAATTCGACCGAGCATTCGCAGCCAGGAAGCCAAATTAAAGGGCTCATTACTCTTCTTGAAAGCAAAACTTTAGCCGAAGACAAAGACACGCCTTCCAGCATGGTAATTGGCAGCCACAAAATCATTTTCCGCGACTATCTACCCTGTGTCGTCGACTCTCTCGTCACAATTGGGGATATTGCCATCACCTTTGCACCGCCGTCGGCCAACGCACCTTGGGCTGCCGCAAAGGTATTGCTAAAGGTAAGGCTCCTAATTGTCTATCAGATCTACCTAGTTTGCTAGCATCGGCAGTATTAATAAATACCAGATGCCGGTTAAAAATATCGAGCAGATGGCAGCCCTTACCGGGACAATCCAATGGTTTACACGTGCTGTCCACAAGGGTCAGATATATGAGTCGATCTACACCGAGGCAACTACGGATAAGCAACTTGTGTCCGACCTACATGACGCCCTTCGAGATGTATATATCGCGGCAATGGAGCTGTTGGCCCGTTCTGATGAGCTATTTGAAAGTGGAATAACTACACAAATACTCAATACCATTCTTCGTCCCGAGCAAGTTCCAGGTCTCGTCTCAGACTTGGCAAAAAAAGAGGATGCTGTTATGCAGGAAGTTCAGGCTTGTGAAGTTTCACGAAGTGCCAGAACCGGCACGAAACTGGACCAAAAGTTACAAGACATGCTGAAGATGCTTGATGAAATGTCGGTGCCGCTGAGACGAATCGATGAGGGCGTAGCCAAGTTGCTCGAAAACGAGAATCAAGACCGACTGGAGAAATTGATGAATTTTATTAGTCCAGATATGTTCGGCCAAAGCCACTCTGAGTTTAAGAGTCGAAGGATAGCAGATACCGGCAATTGGCTAATAGACCATGAATGCTTTCGCAACTGGCAAGCAATACCGTCTTCAACAGTACTTTGCCTTAAAGGAAATGGTAAGTCCCTCAGTTCATTAGCTTCCCATATATTCTATCACTAACCTGATCTAGTCGGTACTGGCAAAACGTTCCTTACTTCACGAGTCATTGACCTCGTGAAGGGGACCTTAGAGGCATCGGCTCACGACGAAGGATTTGCCTACTTCTATTGCCGCCGATCCGGAACCTCAATGCAGGACCCCGTCGTCGTTCTCAGAAGTTTTGTTCGCCAGTTGTGCTATAGAGATGACTACGAGCATGTCCAAGAAAACATCATTCAGATCTGTCAGGCGGCGGAGAAGGAACAGAGAAAACTGGACCACAAGGAATGCAGCGAGCTGATCTTAGGCTTGCTGAGCCTCTATTCAAAAACTACTATCATTTTTGATGCTTTAGATGAATCTGATACGGAAGAGAATGGTCTAGCCCAGACTATCGTTGATCTGGTAGCAAAGGCCACGAAGCCGGTCAAAGTCTTTGTATCCAGTCGTCCAGGCCGTGAATACCTGGGCGCATTCGACGCAACGCCAACAATAACCATAAATAGCGATGACCAACAGGTTGATATTGAGAAGTTTCTTGACATAAAGCTTTACTCTACAGTGTCATTTCAAAGACGCCAGAAAGAGATCCAAGAATTGATTAGGGAAACTTTTACATCTCGAAATGGCGGAATGTAAGTCATGCCTATTCCTCATTCTTCATTCCTTGGCCCTCTCGACTATCCATTCTATCTATAATATCATTCTTTTACCATGGTAGACTAACATCGTCTATTAATCATAGGTTCCGATGGGTCCATCTACAGATCAACCGGGTGAATCCGCTTGTATCGAGCGATGCAGTCAAACTGTGGGCCAAGACAGTTCCTCGCGATCTAATGGAGGCATACGACCAAATGTGGGACATGTTAAAAAAGGATCACGAATGCGAAATGCCCTTGATTGAACGTGCCATCAAATGGGTACTATGCTCTATGCGACCATTAGGAATCGAAGCTCTGTTGACGGTAATCCAATATACGATTGAACAAGACATATTGGTACAGAAAGAACGGCAAACTCGCCAGGAGATACAGTCGCTTTGCCAGGATTTCTTAACGTTTGATGAGGAGAAGCACATGTGGATGGTGCCGCATGCTTCCGTTGCTGAATACTTCGAATTCAGGAGTGAGATTTTGGGGAACTGTGATGCGTTTGCTTCCAACATAAAGCTCAAATTTCTTATGAAATTTACCAAGGAAGTCCCTGTTATGAAACCTATTGAGTATGTCCTTCTTGCGGAACATGAGAAGGATATCCTCGACTACCCGGAAGAACACCGGTCTCCTTGGTTCCAATCTTTTAAAAACAAATTCACGTGCGATTGGCCTGAGCACGTCGAACGATACGACAGATGGCTGGGCTCAACAAAGGGCGGAACCCCCGATGCACAACTTGTGGCGTCACTGAAGCGACTGTTCAGTCCGATAGACGAGGCCAATGCCTATTATAACAGATGGCTTGACCTCAAATTTAAAGATGGGAGATCCGGGTTGGAATATCCTTTGCTCTCCGTGTGCCGCTACGGGCTTTACTACGTTCTGCAAGATTGGTGGGAGAATGACATCGTCAACAACCCATTTTTGCAATTTCTGAATAAACGAAGATATCGGGCTCTTGAGCTTGCGGCAAAGGGCGGATGCATGGTAATTTGCAGACGTTTGCTGAGCACAATGGATATGAAGGATCCGGCTAGACTTGGTCCCGCGATGAAAAACGCGATAGAATGCGGTAACAAAGATCTCATCTCACTTATAGTGACACAAGGGGAGTTTGACATCAGCCTTTATCTCCGGGGTCAGCCAGATCTCGTTATTAGCGCAGCCCGCCATCCCGGCCTGCTCCAGTGGCTTGCGGACCACCGCTGGCTCGATGTCAACAAGGGATTTCCCCTGCACCTAGCTGCAATGATGGGCGATTTCGAAGCAGTCAGGGATCTGATCGAGGTTGGAGCTGATGTGAATCTCCTTCCCAACGTTGCACGCACATTCGGGAGTGCCCTTGCCGCCGCCGTTGCTTCAGAAGTTTCCGGGATAGAGAATTCGAGGCGCATCAAAGTAATAAATCTCCTTCTCGAGAAAGGCGCAGACCCTAACCTGCCATTGAACACTGGCCATTTTGGTAGCGTGCTAGAAGCGTTGATATGCTCTTGGCGACTGACACCATGGTCACACGAGAACTCAACTGGAGATAGATACACAAGACCCAATAGAGTGCTGGCAATTCTACTCAAAGCTGGGGCTAACCCTGCCATGTTGCTCAACCATGGGAATTATGGCAGTGCTCTTGCTGCTGCCGCATTTTATGGGTTGAAAGGCATGCTGATGGCCATGATGGTGAACATCAATGACAAGGATACGGCAATCGAATGTCTTCGCCAGAGCAGGCATCCTAACGAAATCTTTGTAGGAGATTTCAAAGTATGGAAGCAGCTGAGACAAGACATAATAGCATATCTCACCGACGACATTGGAGTCGACAAAGAAACTCTTTACAAAATCGGGCTGTGGCAAGTCAGCCCAGAAGAAGTCGGCACATTCGACGGTGGATTTTTCATTTACAGGCCAAGCCAAAAGTCAAACACCCAGGAACAAAACAACCAGGGCCAAAACAACCAGGAACAAAGCAAACAGGTACAAAACATACAGATACAAAACATAGAGATACAAAGCACCCAAGAACAAAACACCGAGGAACAAAACACCGAGGAGCAAAACATACAGATACAAAGCACCGAGGAACAAAACACCAAAGAACAAGACACCGAGGAACAAGACACCGAGGAACAAGACACACAGGAGCAAAGCACCCAAGAACACAGCACCCAGGAGCAAAACATACAGATACAAAGCACCCAGGAACAAGACACACAGGAGCAAAACACCCAGGAGCAAAGCATGCAGGTACAAAACATACAGATACAAAGCACCGAGGAACAAAACACCAAAGAACAAGACACCGAGGAACAAGACACCGAGGAACAAGACACCGAGGAACAAGACACCGAGGAACAAGACACACAGATACAAAGCACCCAAGAACCCAAAACCCGGATCCTCTTCCAATTTTTATATATATTAGCAGCCATTGCATTCATGGCATTTCTGTGTGGAATCCTTGAGCCGCGGAGCTGGGCCGATTGGGGGATGCCAATCATGCCCAATTACCCCAAACCTGTTGGCTCATGGCACCTCTAGGAACCAATGATTTACGCGCGCGTTATTGGTGCGCAAGATGTAAAGCCTTCAAATTTGTTATATGCTTTCTATTAGACTGGCGAAAGCTTTCATGTTAGCATGGGTTTACAGGGGAAAGCCCCTTCGCCTACTCGGTTTGTGGCAAGTTAGTCTGCATGAAATTGGTGGATTCGGCGTTTTTTATGTTTGATATACTAAGAACCTACTCTCGCTCTAATCAAATGTTTGCTTTTATTATATACCTTGGAGTTGTGCGTGCGATTCCCTTGTGCTCGAGGTTGGTGTAAGTCGCCAGTATAAGTGAAACTTTCGCCAGCCGAGAATCGAACGTAAGAATAGATATCTGCTAGGTGCATACGGCCGAACAGGGGCTCTCAACTCGTGCTGTATAGATCCCACTATTCCACCTTTTGTTCAGTGCTATGAAAGTGTGTAGGGTTCATCTCAATTCGAATCTCTCATTCTTCTTACATATTTCAACTCTGCAGAACACATCTTCCCACGGCCCCACCTATCCATGCCCGTCTTATTTAGCACCGCGCCTCACGTCATGATCTCTGCACCAATTACTCTCACTTTATCTTCTACTTGATAGCTTTGATAATTCTTGCTATTTCTATCTGTCAAATACCTTACCTTGGATAATACAAACCATGCCTACTAACTTTGACAAACAAACATATTGGCACCACCGTTTCTCCACCGAAACCTCCTTTGAATGGCTTCTCAGCTCCACCGACTTCATCTGCATCCTAAAACCTCTTCTTGGCAATCTTGAGCCTTTATCAACTCGTATCCTACATCTCGGCTCCGGGACCAGCGACTTACACAATCACTTTCGCCAACTAGGCTTTCTAGACGTCACAAATGTCGATTACGAGCCTCTAGCAGTGGAACGTGGACGACGGCTTGAGGAACAAGCCTTTGGCGATGTAAAGATGAAGTACGCAGTAGCAAACGCTACAAAATCTCTATTAGTATCAAGCAACAGCAATGACCAAGGAACATACAACAACGACAAATTCGATCTTGTCGTAGATAAGAGCACTGCAGATGCCATCTCATGCGGCGGAGACGAACAAGTCCGTCTCATGGCTCAATGTGTTGGGGAATGTCTTGCAAACGGCGCCATTTGGGTTTCAATGAGTTACTCTGCGTCGCGATTTGACATTGGCGGGCTTCCTTTTGATGTCGAGGTTTTGGCAAGGATTTCGACGCCGAAAAATGCAGTGACGGATCCGGACATCTTTCACTGGTGCTATCTGCTGCGACCGAAATAGTAACTCTGTTTTGGACGAGAGAAGACGTTTAACTTGCAGTTGGACTGGGATTCCAACGGTTTCACGCAGCGATGAAAGATTAGCTGCTCAAAGATTGAACAGTAACTGATTGGAGATGGTTCAGCTGCAAAAAAGCAAAATCACTGGTGTGTGATAAACTCCTGGCCTCGAGGGCAGCTATTCAGCAAAAGGAATATAGCCACGCAAAAGTCTCCATCTATACCTAGGAGCGTTAATGTTTGCGACTCGGTCATAATTTGGAAATAGACGAGAAAGGCATTGAGGCAAGAAACAAATAATATATTATACCTAGCTTATCAGAAGCAATTCCATCCCTCTAATGCCCCTCTCTATAATTGTAGCGTGTTATATCATGTATACCGAGATGCCCATCCATTGTACCTTCTATCCCGTTACCTTTAATACCCCCCCTCTAATTCGAGCTATGCCGACAAATCTCAAGCTTCTTCCTCACTAATCCCTCAATCTGTCTCCATCGTTTCTCCAGAAGCGCCCTCTGGTTTTCCCTTCCAACCTTGAGCTCCCCAATCTGCTGCAATCGCTTCACAACAACATCCCTCAACAATTCCTCAAGTAAACCCACAAGGTATTCATCAACCCGATCCTGAACAAGTCGCCCCTTTTCCTTACCGTTAAGGAACTCGTGAAACTGCTTCGTCGTACAGCAAAGCAACCGCAAAACTCCCTGCGTGCGGCGAAACTCCTCGGTCGAAGATGCCAGAGGATACTCCCCCAGTAAATCTCGCTTCTTGAGTTCTTCCCTGTGATTCTTGCTTAGCTTAGGAAACACCACATCGTCGATGTAGACGTCATCCGATGGGTTCTCATCAGGGATGAATCCATATTCCAGCAAGTTGTAGTCGTTGGAATGGCTACTGTATGAGATGAACAACTCTTCGCCCTTCTTGTACGCCCGATCCGCAACAATCTGGTACACATGACGCGAGTAATAGACTTTACACCCATCATCTGAATGATTAAACAAGTCGGCCACCGGGATCAGGGCCAGCCTGTCTTCCCAGGGGTACTTCAACGTCTCCGGCGTCTCGTTGTAAAACGACCGTGTATTGACAATCATCCAGGCATACGTATACTCCTCAATCGGAACGTCCGGAAATTCATCCCTGAAGGCACTCCAGCTGCTCTGAAACTCCTTTTCTCGTTTCCGGAGGTGATCTCTAGACTCCAGAGGCAAAAGATCACTCAGCTCCCTCGGCCACAACATGGGCATACCTGCTTCGAAACCACTCATCTCCGGCAACACAGCTTTCCAAGGCCTAAAGTGAGGAGTCTTGTCAAGTGCCAGCTCCGCAGTCAGCAACCCTTGGATGGTCGTGTCTGCAGGCAACTTCTCCCGCACCCTCGTAGACACGGACTCCAAGCAGCGTAGAACCCGGACAGGCACCCTCAGGATCTCCTCTTCAGCCTATTTTTGGGGGCGAGCAAACCGTTAGACCTATCCGAGTGCAAGTAAATCACCCAACCAGTCCGCTGTTTACCTTGATTTTGCGCGTGGCGAGAATCCCTGTGCCTCTGCCAGGGATCTTTCTTGGCTCGATGCCTCGGATGACTATCCCTTGCGCCTTGGCCCATGTTATGAGATTCTGCAGATGCCCCATGATCATGATGAAAGGAAAGGAAACGGTTCAAATTGAAAAGACGACAAAAGAAATCTAATTGAACATGATCCTCGACATATTGAGAGGGTGAAATGAGGGAGCGGCCAACATTGAGCAAGAAAGAGAGAATATGTCACGATAATGGGATGCTCCTTGGTATGGCGTTGTTAAGCTTTCATCGCCAAGTACCGCCATTTTGGCGCAGATTCGAGGTATATCCGATTACCCGGATAACAGCCATCTTTTTGTTTGCTCTACAGTAAATAAGCCACGGCCATGGCCGCCAAAAGGCACGAGCGACGATGCCGTTCTGTTTCGTGTTTGCGTCTGGAATGCATCACGGAAAATCATCCCGCCGAAGCGCCGCCTTACTAACATTGCATTGCATCAACATTTTGTCATGCATCAATTTGCTCCATAGAAAACTGGCGGTGACAATAACAACAGCTGCCTAAATACCTTATTCAGGATGTTTACATCGGATACTTACCAATCTGTATTACTCGTCCATACGATACGATACATGTACACAATTCCCATCGAATTTAATCTATGTGATGCATGTGGGCCGCAAAAGGCAGCATGGAAGCCCGGCGATTCTATTCGTTCATGATGCAAATGCGCATTGATTGTTATCCACCGTTTACGGCATGCCGACTGCTGAAAAGTTCGTGCGTAAGACGTGCATTAGCACACATCAAGGAGTGGGTAAACAAACACCAAGACTCCTATCCCCACGGCACCCACAGTCATTTCTGGGCTGGTAAACATTGGCTTATAGGGGCAACCCGTGTATCATCTCAGCGCTCTGCAGGAACAGGCGGCTGCTAATTTGCCCCCATGCTCGAATCTACTCTGTACAGTATGCCGAACTGGATGGCCCCGTCCAGCTCGAGGCAGCGATATTGATTGCCATTTCCATCATCACCATTTGCTCCCGTCTAGCCCCTACGGAATCCTCCTCCTCCGCCTCCTCTACCCCTTCCCCCTCCCCGTCCAAAAGCATGGCCCCCTCTCCCTCTCCCGCCTCCACCACCGCGACCCACGTCCTCTTCTTGACGCGGCCCCTTGGCCTTCCTCTCCTTCCTCTCTTCCGGGCTGGCATCCCACAGGTTGTCAATGCCCAAAAGCTCACAAAATGCCGTCGTCTGCGGGTTTGTGTACTCCTCGGGCTGGTTATCGACAATCTCAGGCGTGCCGAGAACGTGTGGAGGCGCCGTGATCTCAAAGTTTTCCGGCACATCCATCTTCCCCTTTTGCACGATATTCTCTTCAACCCATGCTCTCTCTGCTTCAATCAGGGGGAGATAGTTCTCCTCGCCTAAATCTTCAGGCACTTGGGCTGTGTGATCACCAAAAATGTTGAATTTGTGAAAGGCACGAGTGATGGCTAGCCACTCAGCATCGTACTGAAGTCGATATCGAGGGCCCGAGGTTTGCGGTGGATGTAGCGATAGTTGCTCCTTTTTAAACGGCTCAACCTCGCATAGCTGAAGGAAATGTCGTCCAGGTAGACACTTGTCCAATGCTAGAAAGCGGACTTCTCCGTTTTCGATGCCTGGAGGGACTGGTTGACCTGGTGTGCGTCTCACCTTTGCTGTAGGACGAGCAAATGATGCAGGCAGCTGTGCTCTCAAATCTTCAGGAACGTCGCCCGTAGTTGTCTCGGCTCCTCCTGCAGCTCCAGCCTCTGGAGCTTCTGCAGTCACATCTTTGGTGGTATCGTTGGGCTTTTCGACATCTTCGTCGTCCATGTCCAAGTCAATCTCGTCAGGATTATCTTGGACGGGAGGCGCCGCTTCAGGGGGGCCATCCACCTGAACAACCTCCTTTGCACCTGATGCGTCGTATTTCCTGAGGGCGGCGAATTTCACGTGGTGATGTGCAGAGAACCAATACTGCGGTCGTAGCCGGTCCATGACATATTCCGCAGCCACACTGCCCAGAGACCCATCCATAGAATCGCGCCTCAGAAATGGCTTTCTTCTGAATAATGCATTGAGATCCCCATGAGTCTCGACCTGTCGTGGCCAGTCGTGGCTGAGGCCGACGTCAACCTGCGTCTGTAGCAGCAGCAACTTTCGGACATCAATCTCTCTAACCGAGTAGAACGATTTGACGTCGCTGCCGGTGAAAGGAAGCCGTTCATGATGCGGCCTGCGGTAGTTGACGCCTCTCCAAATTCCAGACATGCCAGCAATGCGAATTGGCCCCAGCCGGACGACGTTGGCAGCCCCGAGATAGTAGATATTGGGAGCAACCCAGCCGCCGTAGTAGAGCTCCCAAGCATGGGAGGCAGCCTCATGGTTGCCGCCGATGAAGATGGTCAGGTAGGGCGCCTTCTTTCTGCCAGCGTAGTAGTCGTGAAAGTCGCCGAGTTCGCGATACTTGACGGGACAGGACATGACGGTCAAGTCGGCCGCATTGCGCACAGCCTACGAATATCAGCGACAGACACACATCGCTACAGAGCTTTTATGATGAGTACCTGAAAATCGCCTCCAATGATAAGCACATCGACGCCATCCCAGCCGCGCTGTTGGGCCGACCGTTCGACCGAGGCGTATATCGCGTTGAGCTTGGCATGGCCCTGAGAAGAAAAGCAAGTCAATCGAAGCCACCACCGACAGCTGATAGAGACACGGTATAGAAAGACTCACGCAGCCCTCAACAGCAATGCGAACCCCCTGAGACTCGAACGCTGCCATTTTCGAGGTCGAGTGCCCAAAGTGCTGTCGAAAAAGAAAGGTGAATGAGTTGGGCTTAGCGCGTGTCCACGCCAACGGGACTCGGCGTACAAGGCGTATCATATCAATGTTTGCCAGACAGCCCGGAAATAGCCTCCAGGTAAGCCAGAATCACTGCTGTTCGCCCTGAAAAGAAGGGCCGACGCCTACAATTATGAATGCCCGGTGCACTGTGACGGGGATATTTCGCACCGGCCGGGATTGAGTTGAGTCACAGAACTTGATATGCAGCCAGTGTGGCGTGATTGCTTGTAAGAGTCACAGGTGCTGCATCTGCATGCATGGAGCAGGAATGAAAGAGTCATCTTTCCTTGTTCGTGTTTGAGGGATGTTTTTGATTGGCAATTGTAAAATGAGCCGTTGATTATACATCTGCGAATTGGTAGCATACAGGTAGCATACAGGCATACGGAGTTCTCCATCAGTACAAATGATACGAAAAGTCATACGTCTACAAAGAGTAAAGCATTCAGCCAAGCATGTGCCCCTACAAAAAAAGCGAGATCTCAATGTAAGAATTGCGAGTCAAGCAGAGTGAGAGGGATGCAATCAATCTTCCAAATCTAATAGACGTTCAACCCACGGAGGAGTGAGAGAGGAACGCATATGCTGAGATGGATGTCACCAAAGGATCATCACCATGAGTATCACTGTAAACACAAATCGCTGTTGTGATTGGTTATTCTTAGTATTAGGGACGAGGCGTATTGCTTTCCTCTTCTAGGTGGTAGTTCTGTAATCGGTGTGGTATCATGTCTTCGTCTCATATTCTTCTTCTTCTTCATAGATCATCCATGGCAGGGCACCATTCATTTCGTGCTCATGTTGGCCCTGTCAAACAACGTTAGAAGCGCCTATAGCTCGACTCCCACATGGCTTACTGATCCAAGCCCAGGTAATCGGCCGCGGCCAACAGCTCAAGGCAGAGCTCTACAGGAATGTCCATGTCGGGCACGTCCTCGCTGTTTCTGTAACGATACCAGTAGTGGAAGTACTCGACCACTTTGTCGAGCACCATTCCGCTGTCGGCAGTCAGTCAGCCCAGTTCGGACACGACGTGGAATCATGGCAGCAGGCATTTCCAAGGTGGTTTTTTCTTCTTGGTCGGTTCAAGTGTAGTTGCAGCATCAGCCAGACCAGCGAGCACACTCTCCCGAGACAATTGAGTCCGGGTGAGATGGCAGCGTTCTGTCAAGTCATGCTCGTGAATTGTCGTCACCCCACGCAGACAGTTTCATCGCCGTGCATAGCAAATCTTACCTCATCTCTTGGAACACGCATCTGGCGTCCTTGGCCTCGACGAATTGACCTGCACAAACATGTGAGCAGGCAGAGGAACATGTAAGAGATATCGACGGCTCCCAGGGTGTTCTTTCACGCACTCCTCGGGTCCAGCATGCCCTTGATGATGGGGCTCACCATGGCAGCCTCACGCAGCACGACAAACTCGAATCCGTCTCCGGAAACGAGCGTCACGTACTTGCTGGGCGGAGCGAGATCCATGGTGAATATTTGCGCAAAAGCAAAAAAAGGGAGAGGGAGGAATAATAAAGGGAGAATAGAAGCCGCGTGTGGTGGAAAAAGAAAAAAAAAAGAGCTTTATACTCGTACTGCAAATTTCGACTCGCCGTGCTCGCGTCTACCCAGGCAAAAGGCTGGACAGGCACAGGGCAGGTTAAGAATTTTCGCGAGCGGCTAATGCACGGACCAACCTCGGAGCCGGAACAACCCGCCCCAGCCACTCGCCAATGTCCGTCACGTCAGTGCACCGCCATGCGTTGCCCGGCCAACTGTTTACTCAGCCCTTTGGGCTCCGGTTTCCATCCCCCGTCTGCACCAGATGCAGCAACAAGTCCTGTCCCACCAACTGTCTCGTTGCCCGGAGCGAACAGCAATAGCAACAGCAGAGCCAAGTACAACATCGTCATCTCCCCCCCCCAGCCTCTGCATCCCGTCCGTCTTGCAAACCTTCAGCTACGGGGGCTGCGCTACAGTCGAACTCGTCGCCGCATCGGATCCCACACCGCCGCAGCTTGCTTTGTTCCGTCTTAATCTCTTTTTTTTCTCTTCTCTTTCTTGTTATTATTTTCTTGTTCCTTGTTCCCTTACACCGCATTGTTTGCATGCCGGCCGGATTCTTTGTTTCTGCCGCGGTGCCCACTCCTATTCTTTGTTGAGCAGCTTCAGCATTCCAGTCGAGAGAGGAGAAGCTCCGTTGGCTGCTCTGAGACAAGCTCTCTCTCCCCCAGCACCCGCTCCCACCATGGCGGCGTATCAGAACCGCAACTCGCAGTATGCGACGGGCAGCAACGAGAAGCGCGGCCAGCGCACCCGCTCCAGCGAGGGAACTGTCAGTACAACCATGAGCTCATCGTCAGGCCGCGAATCAGCAGCGACTCACGTAACGGAGGCCCCGACATATTCGAAGAAGATTGTCGTTGTAGGAGACGGCGGATGCGGCAAGACATGTCTGCTCATCAGCTACAGCCAGGGCTATTTTCCAGAGGTAAGCATCCCCAGGGCTCCAGCCGCAGCCGCAGCCTTGTCGCCTTTTTGTTTGTCGCGTACCGTACCTTGCACAAAGACGAGAAACGGATGCTGACGGCCGCCTCCCTCGCGGGCAGAAATATGTTCCTACAGTATTCGAAAACTACATCACCTACCCGACGCACCCGCCCACCGGCAAGACGGTAGAGCTCGCCTTGTGGGATACCGCCGGCCAAGAAGAATACGATCGCCTCCGTCCCTTGTCGTACCCGGAAACCGACCTCATCTTCGTTTGCTTCGCCATCGATTGCCCCAATTCGCTGGACAATGTCATGGACAAGGCATGTCCCCCCTTTCTCTTCCTCTCCCCCCTTTTAACCTGAACCGGCATACGTCACTCGTCGGCGACTTCCAATCTGCTAACTCTGGCCACAGTGGTACCCCGAGGTTCTGCATTTCTGCCCTTACACCCCCCTGATTCTGGTCGGCCTGAAATCAGATCTCCGACACAAGAAATCCTGCATCGACATGCTCAAGACCCAGGGACTCACGCCTGTCACCGCAGAGCAGGGAATGGCTGTTGCCAAGAAGATGGGAGCCCAGTATATGGAGTGCAGCAGTAAGGAAATGCGAGGTGTCGACGAAATCTTCGAGCAGGCCATCATGACGGTTGTGGCCAACGACCGGAGGAACATGGAGACGCCCACCGCGTTGGCTGCGTCCGCGGGCGATGGGAAGACACAAGCTCCCGTGGTAGGGGGCCTTAAGAGGAAGAAGAGAAAGTGTCAATTTCTCTAAAGGGCTCGCTCGAAAATCTCGGAATGCTCATCATTTCTGCACCGGCAGCAGAAGGCAGCACGCCGTCGAGGGTGGATTTGTTCTTGGGCGTCGAGAGCGGGTTGCAGATGCGCGTGTGGACGCGGACGTGGATGCGGATACCGAAATTGTAATGACCGTCAGACGATTCCTTTACGACGACTTGCGCCCCCTTTACGAACGACGTCCAAACGGCCATGGTCCACGATTCAAGACGATGAAAGCGAGGTGGTGGAGAGACGAGCTGCTGGTGCATCTCTCTCTCTTCGAAAGAAAGCTACAGCCTGGTATATAAGCGGGAGTCCGCGTGGTTGATTTAAACATATTCGAGCCGGCCTCTCTTTTTTTGGATTTGCGCTTCAGGTCCTGCTATGCTAGCCTTTTGACGCATGGAAGGGAAGGGCGGATTGTGGGAGCCACGAACTTTTCTAAACGCAACTAGGAAACGGCGGTGGTGACGTTTTTTTTGCGAACCTTTGTGTGGTCTTTTAGTACTCTTTTTTACCATTCTCTTTTGTTTCGTGTTTCTTTTTTTCTCTCTATCCACTTTTGCGTCTTCTCTTATGTAGCATGATACTGTTGAGTTCAATCAGGTTTGGGATTGGGAGATTAAAAAATCATCATATTCACACCCCTATACCGGCTGTCTCTTGTCTTCCTACTTTCCCTTCCCTCCCCCTTTCATTTCCGATCCAGCGATCGTGTTGTAGTGATAGTGATAGTGTAGATTATACAAAGCGTAGATGGGCTGGGGGTACTTGGTGGGAAGGGGGGTATCTTTTCGCCCATGCGTGCTGTAGCAATATAATCTCTCGTTTGTTGTCTGCTTTGTTCTGTCCGCTCCCCTGTTTCTCTGTGTCTCGCTCTCTTGGGGTATCTTGATCTTTTTCTACTCTTGCATTGTCTCGTCGTCGTCGTCGTTGTGCTTTGCGGCGTCTTGTTGTTGTTGTTGTTCGGTCTGTTTATTGGCTTCTTCGTCTTTGCCCATTACGTTTTCGAATTGTGACCAGAGGGCTTCTACGGAAGAGAATTCGTTGCCGACCTAATGTCCAATGGTTAGCCCATATCGTCATCCAATACCGTGTAATTTGGAATTTGGGGGTTAGACGAACGGCGATGATGGCTTCGAGAGAGCGATTCAATTTGTTGATGTTGCCGAGGACTTGCTCGAAGCTCTAAAGAACCCCCCCCAACCCACGATGTCAGCATAACAAAACAACAACTTGTTCTTTCTGACTCTTTGGTAGGAGGAAACGGAACGTACTTCGGCAATGTCGCCGACGAGGGCTTCTCGCTGCTGTTCGTAGTAGGCTCTGCTGCTGGCGGTGCCGGCGCCGCCGTTGCGGGTGTCCATTTGCGAGGACCGGCTGCTGGTATTCAGATGTGGTTATTCCGTGCTTTGTTTGTGTTCGAGGCGAAGTGAATTGGTTTTTTTGGTTATGTGTGGTTTTGTTGGAGTTGTAAGAGGCAAGTTTTGGAGGTTGCGCGACGCGTTGAGTGGCTGGAACGGGATATTCTGCAGCTTTTCTCCAGCTTCTGCTGTAAGCTCATGGTGGGGTTGGGCATGTTTTGTCTCTTTTGCCAATGACGTGCCCCGCCAGCGATCTCAAACATTCTCCAATTCGATGTCGATAAATACAATTGGAGGTTATTCGCCAGACTCAGCCATATTTCTAATTGAGATGTAAATCAAGATTCATATACTGAAAATATACTTCATTATTCGAGAGAAATATCATACAAACATCGCCACAAAGCGATCCTCCTCCACAACCACCACCTGCAATTCTCGCACTGCAGTCCTGTCTGTCCAAACTCAAAAAACATCCTGTGATACTCGCAATTCCATAAACAACTCGTTTTTTTTTTAAACAAAGAGCAAAACACACCAGATCCGCCCCCTTCCAGTTCGCAGTCGTCTCCGTCAGTCAACATTGCATGAACCTACCCCGAGACGTCATATATAATCCCCCAAGTACCCCAAAGTGCCCCTCTATAGATTTACACCAAACTCGTGTAGATTGATGACTGTAAAGACGCGTATACAAAAACTTGGAAAAACAACGACCAACAGAAAGGCAAACACATGGATTATAATGAGGGGCATGCTGTTCCCCCCTTCGCTCATCCAATGCTCGTCAATGCTCGTCAACAGGCGCTCTTCAGCGGCCGTACCTATCGGGGTGCCTGTCGTACTCGTGAGGTCGAAGACTACCCCGATTCATGATGTCACGCGGGTCTCTCGGGTCTCTTGGATCTCTGGGGTCTCGCAAGTCTCTTGGGTCTCGATCTCGTGGATCTCTTTGATCCCTCGGGTCTCTCGAGTCCCGTAGCTGCAACTCTCTTGGGTCCGGTGCCGGGTAACCATGTACTTGAGGCTGAGGTGGCGGCGGCCCGCGACTATCGTAAACGCTTGGAGTATAACTTCGGCCAGGCGGGACATCTCTCGGGTCTCTAGGATCTCTTGGATCCCGAGGATCTCGTGGTAGCGCTGGCCCCGGAGTTGACGTGTAACGCGGGTATGGCTGTGCACTGGAAGACATGGGCTCCGGCGCTCGTGTCGTCTGCGGATAGCGAGACTGCAGCGAGTGCTGCTGCGACAAGCCCGAGGTGCCCTGTCCGTATATTGAAGGAGGCCGGTCATCTCTCAGGGACATGTGCTGTTGGGGCGGTGGAGCGGCTGCTGGCCATGCCGGTGCGGGAGTACCTGGTTTTGTCGAAGGATGCTGGGATCCCCAAGCCGGTTGAGCGTGCTGAGGAGGCGCCTGTGTTGCCTTGGGAGGTTGGGATGGCCAACTGTTGCCTTGTGGTCGAATATCAGAAGGTTGAGCTTGATGGCCAGACGACGGCCAGACGTTATCACGGCTACTTGGTGGAATTTCACGACTCCTTGACGATGAGTGAGTTGCGTATTGCTGTGTCGGCGGCGAGGTGATATGCGCTGACTGAGGCCCTCCTCCGTAGGCTGTGGGATAACCTGTCTGGGACTGATATTGGGGCTGGCTTGACTGTGGGGGTGGAGGGTAACGCTGAGAGATCTGGGGAGAGTTCGTTCCGCTTGCTGGATGGCTTTGTGGATATGCGTGCCGTCCGTAATAATCAACCTCTACCGCGGAATCAGATGGCATGCTTCGGTGTCCACTAATATGCTGCGAGGAGACCGGCGAGGCAGAATAAGGAGGTTTTAGAGAAGGCATGGCTGATGCTCCACTGGATGGCGCTCGCCCATAAGGAGAATAGTGAGAGTCTGTTTCCCGGCGAATCGGAGGGGCTTGTGTAGGTGCGGCCGCAGGTGGTGGAGGCCGACCGATGCCCTGGGACGGCGGCGTTGAAGATGGCCCAGGTGTGTGGCTTTGCGTAACCTCAGCGACTCGCTTAGGGGGCGGAGGATCATCGTTCAAAAGCGACATGATGTTTGACTTTCGGGGCTCAGGAGGTCGAGCAGGTGTAAGAGATGGCATTGAAGAAGGATGCTGAGGAGGTGGGGCGGCTGCACCGTAGGGTTCGTGTGGAGGGCCTGATGAGATCCTCTGCGGTGGAGGAGCCTGGGTTGGCCTGGAGGACGGAGGCGCCAGCGGAGGTGACTGTACCACAACAGGGTCAGAAAGCAACGACCGCATTGGCTGCTGTGGCGGAACCGACGTGGGATACGGTTGAGGAGCAACGGAGCGAGACGGTTCTTGGGATGACGGTCTCGTTAGTGAGAATGGCTCCCGAGGGCCTCCGCCATGGCTAAGCTGCTGTCGATGGCCACCATACGGTTCGTAACGGTGGAGTGGTGCTTCAGATTCCTGCTTCATTCTCATCGACTGCTGCTCCGCTTGTCGGAGTTCTCTCTCCCTCTCCCTCTCGCGCTCACGCTCACGCTCTATTTCCATTTCCCTTTCACGCATGAGCTGCTGCTGTTGCTGTTGCTGCTGTTGCTCCCTATGTTGCTGCTCCCTGTGCTGCTGCTCCCTGTGTTGCTGCTCCCTGTGTTGCTGCTCTCTTTGCTGCTGCTCTCTGTACCGCTTCTCCATGTTCATCCGGTCTAGCTGAACAGCGCGTTCACGCTCAGCCAGGACCTCGGAATGTGCTGGCTGCAGAGGCTGTGCCACAGATAAGGGGCGAGAATCCCGGAGTTCTGGGACTTGGCTAGCAGAAGGCTTCTGCGGTAGTGGGACTCGTTGGGGTTGAGCAGGCTCGCGCTCGCGTTCTGGAAAACCGAAAGGCGGCAACGCTTGGTGCAAGGTGCGGGCATTGGGGGATATGGCTTGCTGCGTAGCCTGGGGCACTGCATGAGACGGTACAGCAAGAGGTGCCTGGTTGGGTTGTGCCAGAGGAGCTTGGACTGGAGCCTGGGCAATCGGTACTCCGTAGCTGGGTATATGCTGCGTTTGCCTCAATGGCTGAGGAGGCGCGGGTTCAACCTTGGGCTGTGGAAGATCGCCATGGGGGTCGACAGCTCCTGGAGCCACCGCGATAGGCCTCGAGGTGCCAGACGCAGTGCCTTCAAATCTCCTACCACGCCCACCCGTAGTGGGCACAGGAGGATCAGGCCGTTTCTCTCCCCTAGCTCGCTTCGCATCCGCCTCTTGAGCAATTGCCTCCCATTCTGGTTTTCCAGAATCCTTCTGTCGAACGTAATAATTCTTCACCTATTGGTTTGATTCCACGTGAGTAAGCATTCTCAGCTCAAGAGGCAGGACAGGATACATACCATGACTGTTGTCTTTGAACCCATGTATTTCGCAATTGCCGACCAATCAGTACCGAATGTTCTTAGAAGCGCTGGGAAGTCATTGGCTTCAGACACGCTCCAATAGCTCGATGCCTGAGATAATTGCTTCCGTTCAGGAATGGCCTGCGTCAAGTTAAAGGTGGTGATGGATGACGGAGGAGGTGGGGGTGGTTCTGGCCGAAGTGAAGGTGCTGCCATGACTTCTGTGATGGATCCAGGGACGGCTACAGGCTTTGGCCTCTCAATGAGCTGTGGTTGCGGCACGGCAAACGGCGGCTGGATACCCGCTTGCAAGGGTTGTTCGTACGGCACCGGCAAACGATGAGGGTCGGATGGAGGAGGGCCCGGCAGGTATTCTGCAGCCACCGGGCGAGAATCAGCTCGGCCTCTTCCTTTCCCAGCTGCGGGTCCCGGCGCAGCTGCGAGGGTTTGGTTTGGCTTGGACGCCTTGGCCTCTTTGTCCTTTTCCTTCTCCTTGTCTTTGTCCTTATCCTTGGCCTTTCGCCTTCCCTTCCTTCCATCCACCTTTTCGGGCTGGTCACCTCTAGAAGCAGCAGATGCCCCGCGACGCCCAGGAGTTGCAGCAGGGGTGCTCTCGCCGTCCGTCTGAGGCTGTTCGAAGTTCCACGTAGGAGCAGCAGCTCGTCGGGGCCGTCGCCTTTCTCCATTCTCGCCGTTTTCCTGAGGCGTCTCTTCCCCTTCGGGCTCGCCGTTGCCGAGCTCCGAGACCAAGGCGCTGGATCTCTGTTTGCCCCGGCCACCCTTCTTCCGCCTCTTTGGCTGCTTCTTCAACTTCTCTTTGAGGTTGAGCTCTCCTTTCATCAGGTAATAATATTGAATGCAGGCGCGGAAGTCACGATTTGGAAGAGCTTCCGCAATCTTACCCCATTGCTTGGGACACTCCAGGTAGCGCTTCTCGAAAAGATGGGCTTCCTCTTCTGTGAAGTTATTGACGGGTTGAAACACGTGCCATGCGGAAACAAGCTTTTCTGTAGGGGTGAATCCAGACCGATCAAGGTACTGAACTCGTTGCTTTTCCGAATCGTCCCAGTACATGTCTGGAATGACAGCTTCCTTGTCGCTGCGATACTTCTCCTGTTGGATTCGTAACTCCCGTTCTTTCCTCTCCTCATCTTCTCGCATGGAAGCTTGAAGTACACGCTCGAGGTCGCGCTCTGTAGCAAATCTTCTGCCTGTTCCCCTGCCTTCTGGTTTCTGCTCGGGTGCTGGGGTACCTGTGGTCTCTGAAGGAGCCGAGACCGAAAACTTATCTCTGCTCTTTGTTGCCACAGGGTCATCTGACATGGTATACTCAAGATATTGCATATACTTTTCAGTATACTCCTCCTGCGCGCGCCGTTGCTCGGACGATCTATCGAGGTGCACCTTCTCAAGATACACGGCAACGAAATTATCAACAACAGGGTCCGATTCCAACGTTGCCAGAAACTCCCTATCTCGGTACCAGAGCGGGTGATTACTATAATCGTCGGGAAGACTGTCTACAGGCGGTGTTGACATGTATCGTCGGACTGTGGCAACCGCAGCGGCAGCCTGGACCTCCATGTACGCCTCATCTTCGGTTTCGGTCTCGTCATCTTCGTCTGCTACTTGAGATGGAGTGCTTGGAGGCTTGGTCTCTATTTCGGCAGGTTTCAACAAGGTGGTGGCCTCATCAATAGGTGGCAAAGTCTCTTCGGCGTTCGGAATAACTTCAGGTTCTTTATCCTCTTTGGTAGAGCCGTCTATTGTGGTTTCGATCATCGGCTCCGGTTCGTTATTAGGCTCAGGGGGCGGAAGCCTGGGTTCGTCATCAATGTCCATTTCCTCCGCCTTCGGCTGGCGATCCTCTTGCTCTTGCGGGATAACTTGCTCAACCTTTTCCTCCTTCTCTTCTTCAACTGGGGCTGGAATAAGTTGATCGCTACCAGGGCCAGGCTCTTGCACTTGAGTGTTCTCCTCGGTTTCTTTTGATACAAGAGGCTCGTCGTGAGAAACAGGGGGCTCTTCGTTCTGGGTCTCGGCAGGTTCAATTTCCATCTTTTCGCTCACAGGTACAGGCTCGGGTTCAGGACTTGTTGGAATTTCGCCCAACATCTCTGACAATCCTTCTCCCTCATTCAGTATCTTCACCATTGACCCATGCGATAGAGCCATGTAACGCTTAATCAACTCCACTGGCAAGTCTGGCTTTTGCAATTTGCTCAATTCAGCTTCAGTCTTGTTGATTTCCATATCGAAATAATCGCCCATATCTTCGTCGTCGGATTCGGGAGGCTCTTCCGGTTGAGTTTTCTTCGGAGGTAGAGAAAATCGAACAGCGCGGACCTTGAGCGGCTTGTGCTTTCGCTTCACAGGTACTGCCTCGGTAGGGCTTTTCGTTTCTTCGGTCGGTCCATTTTCCTGCGGCTTAGGAAGTGAGTCAAGCTTTGGGGGAGTGGGAGGCTGTCCAACAGAGTGCGCCGGAGACTCGGGAGGCTTTGCATCGTGATCCATCGATTCTGGCGGCTCGTAATCGGCCACGTCGTTTGGCAATGGCTTTTCGAACTCGCCTCGTGTAGTGATCTCGCCCGGCTCCTCACTATGATGAGCTCGCATTCTATTCTCTACCCCCAAGTAAGGATCTGATTTTTCATCGCTACTACGCGGTCGCTTTAGGTCAGAGGTCTCAACTTGGGAGACGCCCCGTTGCAGGGGAGGTTGAGGCGGGGTTGGCCGTTGTTGGACGAAGCTTTGCGATCTCATTACCTTGGGCGACTCGGGTGGCTGTTTCTTCAAACTTGGGTTGATCCATTGCTTGCTCGATGGGCGAGGGGCCTTGGGTTGCTGCAGTCTGGGACCTAGAGGGATAGGAGGGCTGTCGTGCGGTAAGACTTTTGAGGGTCCAGTGGGTGGCTGAGGAGTCTCGGGGGCTCCAGAAGCCTGCCCTGCAGACACCGGACGCTCTCCAAAGGCGCGGGGAGCAGTCGGTGGTGGCTTAGTCGTGACAGCGGCCGGGGTAGCCTGCGCATCACCAGTACTCGGAGCCCGGTTTGGCACAGATCCAAATGCCGGGGCTGATGGGGCTACAGGAGGGGGTGAAACGTCTTTGACTTGCGCGGCGGATTCCTGAGCCGCTCGCGCTTCCACTTTGGCACGGAAGAGCTCACGATTTTCCCCTCGATCCCTTTCATCGCGTGGGTCGCGGGCTTCAGGGTATCTGTCAGGACGCTCACGCTCGTCGCGCTCGCGGGCCCAGCGGCCTTCCTGAGAGCGACTGCGCTGGTAGCGGTCGCTACGGTCATCATACGGGACTCGTCCTCGCCCTCTCTCGGGCCAGTCGCCTCTTCCACGGCCTCCCCGCCCACGGAAGCCTCCACCTCGAGAAAATGGCGGTGCGTTGAAAACAGGCTCGGACGATGAAGAGCCGGCTGATGGAGGGCCACCGTCACGAGAACCGCGACGGGACCTGTCTGCGTCTAGCCCCGGGGGGATATCCCGATCGCGGAAATCTCGCGTCGGCGATCGTGCTCTTCCAATTGGCGATCTTCTCAGCCTGAAGTCTCTCTGCTCTCGCCAGTCTCGTTCTCGCTCCCGGTCTCGCTCCCGGCTTCTCTCATCTCGGAATCGGTCTCGATAGTCGATGTCTCTGTCCCTTCCCCTATCGCGGCTGTCGTCTCTGCCAGGCCACCCTCGGCCTCCTCTCCCTCGCCCCCGCCCGCCTCTGAAGTCGCCGGCAAACCCTCCTCCTCTCGGCCCGGCGGGAGGATCTATCAGCGCCTTGGGGCCACGGGGAGGTTCGCGGCGCAACTGATCCGCGAATACGTCCCTACCTGGAGGGAATGGCGCCGAATTTGTTCTAGCTTCTGCAGACGAGCGGCGCCTATCGCTGTCGCTATAGTGTGATGCCCGATCAAAGCGGTCCGGGGAGCGATCGCGATCTCGAGGAGATCTCGACCGCCGGTCCCCCCCGTCGTATCGATGCCTGAACGCCCTGCAGCAGGAAGTAGTGTGAGCAAGATGGCCAGTGACAGATGTAGAAGACAATCGCGGCTCGTCTCAAGGTGCCGTCGATGGCACCGGCTAAGGTTAAACAGCGGCATTCACGCGCGGTACGTACATGGTGAATGGCGGGCCAGTGCCGGATGAGACCCTGCAGAAATCCCGCAGGTCCCATCCAGAGGCCGGCGGCGTCGCGAAACCGGCACTGGAGATGCGTAACGAAGTCGGCTTCCGTGGTGTTGATCACGAGAATCTCAATCGCTCACTTCCTCGGCTAACAGGCGTTGTCTGCCCCGTTGCAGCGCAGGGGGTGGCTGGGAAAGCCGAGATCAAGAGGCAGCAGCCCTCAAAAAAACAAAAGAAAATTCTAGCGATGACGTCGGGCCAACGTGCTGCGAACTATCCCAAAGTATCGATGCAAATGGCCGTCAGAGGCTGGAATGATGAAGGAGCTGAAGATCTCGAGGTCCACCGAGAGACTTCAAAATACATCCAGATCGCGTGGCGCTTGAGCAGATACAGGCAGCCTCTTTGCCGCGAGACGCTAGGCGCTAGTCTGTTCCGGGCCTTGCTGTTACTTTGTCCCCCCGGCAGTCAGCGGGGGCTTGGCGCTGTCGATGTGGAAAATTACTAATGTGATACTTGAGGCGGTTAGCGCCACTGGCGGGACTAGCCCTGTTGTGAGATTAATGGAAACTCAAAGGGAAAAAAAGCAGATATTTTGCTAGCGGATCAAGTTACCCGCGAGCCGTGCAAATTGTGAGAAGACGTCAAGTACCGACTTCAATATCTCATACTGGATTAAGCAAGCTTGTAAATAAGGGAGCCGTATTTGTTCTTCGTCGCATTCATCCTCTGTAGCAAGAGGCTCTTCTTTTTCTCGTTTATACGCAGCAGAAGAAGCTCACATCTTAGACTGAGTATTCCCTTTCCCTGATATGGCAGAAAACAGCAGCTCTGGTGCGCCTCCGTTGGAGGTCACCAATGCGGTGCTCGTCAAATCAGAGGAAATGCCAAAGGACGCACAGAAAGTAGAAGAACTCGACTTCAACAAGCTAAAGGGACCCATCACTGCAGAGGATTTGTTCCTTGGAATGAAGAATATGGGGTTCCAGGCAACTTCCATGAGTGAAGCCATTAGGATTATCAACGACATGGTCAGTATGAGAGAGATATTCCTCAGGGGGGAATCCAGTACGGCTAACGACTAGTAAAGAGAGCCTGGAGAGACCCCGAAACTGGAGATAAGACGACGATTTTCTTGGGATACACTTCCAACCTTATCTCATCCGGTCTAAGGGGGGTCTTTCGGTGGCTTGTGGAGCACAAGCATGTCTCATGCATTGTCACAACGGCTGGAGGAGTAGAGGAAGACTTCATCAAGTGTCTCGGTGAAACATACATGAGCTCCTTCAGTGCTGTCGGCGCAGACCTGCGGAAAAAGGGCCTCAACCGCATCGGAAACCTCGTCGTCCCCAACGCCAACTATTGTGCTTTTGAGGACTGGGTGGTGCCCATCTTTGACAAGATGCTGGAAGAGCAGGAGGCCAGCAAAGGAACCGAAAACGAGATTCACTGGACGCCTTCAAAGGTTATTCACCGACTGGGCAAGGAGATTAACGACGAGCGCTCAGTGTACTACTGGGCTTACAAAAACGACATTCCCGTTTTCTGCCCTGCCTTGACGGACGGCAGTATTGGAGACATGCTCTATTTCCACACCTTCAAGAGCTCACCACAGCAGCTACGGATCGATCTGGTAGAAGATATTCGACGCATCAACACTATTGCCGTTCGAGCTAAAAGAGCAGGAATGCTTATCCTCGGAGGCGGAGTCGTCAAGCACCACATTGCAAACGCATGCCTCATGAGAAACGGTGCGGAATCAGCCGTCTACATCAACACAGCCCAAGAATTCGACGGTAGCGACGCCGGCGCGCGTCCGGACGAAGCAGTCTCTTGGGGCAAGATTAAAATTGGAGCAGATAACGTGAAGGTCAGTACTCTCCCCCTATTCAGGATCCTCACGAATATGAGCTGACGTGAAGCAATAGGTATATCTCGAGGCGACGGCATGCTTTCCATTCATAGTGGCGAATACTTTTGCGAAAGATATTTAGACATAGATTAGAGCCACCACGGGCTTGACCATAGCTGTTCCATTGCCCTCAAGACTTTTAAGACGCCTATGATTCCCCGATTAGCTGTCCGAAGCTACCAAGCGCGGACGCCCAGTCAGAAGCTCCATCCCCCTCTGCCCATACTCCTACAGTCTCTATACCCTCCAAGTCTTCCTCCATATGAGCCTGGCTTGTTGTGCCGTCCAAGATGGTAGTCCCCTCCAGTCCCAACACCATCGAATACAACGCCGCAACTGCTCCTACCCCGGCCTTCTGCGCCACCTCTCGCACGGAGCTGCATTGAAGCAAATGTCTGTTGGCACTGATGGTCCAGAAAGATTGAAATACTATTTTCTTTTCACGGCAAAAAGCTCGAAGCTCGGTCTCATACCCAGTTCTGTTGTGGAAACGATTCTGCACGACAGAGGGCTTGACGGTCATGTCGTTGAACAAAGCTTGTAAGATGGGGAGAGTAGTATTGGATATCCCGAGGTTCCGAATCTTGTGCGGTGTGTAGGTTTCGAGCGTCTTCCACACGGTTATTGTCTCTTGCATAGTATCCATGGGCGAATGAAGCACCAGGCTATCGAGATATGGCTCTTGGCCGTCGATACTGAAATTAGCTAGAGAAGACTGCACAGACTGATGAACTTTGTCCGCCAGCGGAGCGTTCAAATCATATGGAGTGACGTTATTCTGCCCAGCTGGGGATGTAAATTTAGTCTGAATCTGTGAAATGCGTCAACCAGAAGATCTTGATACCACTAGAACCGAGTCGTGCATACGAATAAATCCTCTCGTTTAATGAGGCCTTCCCCCACAGCCCGTTTGACAGCCATACTAACACCACGCTCGTCATAGTGCTTGGGCTGGGCCGCAGTATCGATGGCGCGGAAGCCGGTTTCCAAAGCCTGGTAGACTAGATCCGCTGTTTGTTCCTTCTTCCAGGCAGTGCCATAGATGAGTTTCGGAATGCGAGTGGAAGCTGTCGATAGTCCAAGAGGAAGATCTCGCGCAAGCCGTGATGCTTGCGCTCCAATAGCTGGACGAGCCATGATAGAGGAGGGGCAAAGTAAGCTGATGTGGAATGAATGGCAATCAGACCAGTAATTTACTTATTTATTCGACGTTCATTGTGGCGAAGGAGATGATGGAAGCTGGAGGCTTGCATTGCAAAGTAAAGCTTCGAGCTGGTTGTAAGCATCCATTCTCACGCACACAGCAGCGGAGTGCGAGACGCGGGGCAAAGATAGGACGAGGTCACGTCAGGGTTGTCATTATCAGCGTACTTGATCTACTGTGTACGTGTATTCTTCACTGTACAAGGGAGGGGGATTTTATTTCTTGCTTCTTGCACCTTACATCTCAACCTTTACGGCTACACGGCAACCCAACGTTTCTTGATCGATTTTCGTCCCTACGTGTATAGGTAGTCTCACCTTGTCCATGTCACCACCAGCTTTTGCTCCCCCGATATTTCGGGGTAATTGGCTCCATGAAAAAAATGACGCCGTCCATTGAGCCTAATTGGATCGCAAGCTGCCAACCCCACCAAGGGCCGATTTTGTCTCCCCGCCGCTAGGAACGTTGCCATGAGGAGGATTGTGGTGAGCTATTTGGCTATATCCGTCATAATACGGATGCGAGAGAGAAATTGTGGCCGCGGGGCAACTTTGCCCGTACGACACCGGACTTATGAGGCTGTTGATTGGCGAGCGCGAGCATCAACCACTCCACTTGGCTGTTTGATTTGCGGCGAACTGGCACAACGATCTCGGGTCTCGTAAAACGCAAAAGAGGGCCGAGGATATAAAGAAGCGTCCATTACCTCATTGTCTGGGCTAGTTTAGGAGAGCCGTCGTAAACCTCAACCTTCATTCGGCAACCTCAGAGTCAACCTCGGCGTCACCTCAACCACACACTCTCATCCACAATGGCGTCCGGAAACCCTTACACCCTCAAATGGGGCATCATGGCCACTGGCGGCATCGCAGAGAGTAAGTAAAGTATCTGGCTGCTTGAGCCCGCCTGTATAGGGTCGATCGGATCGCTGGAAACTAACACGGTTAACTAGCCTTTTGCAAGGATATCCTGTGCAGTCCTGCAGTCCGAGGCGCCGACGACGTGCGTCACGAAATCGTTGCCGTAGCCTCCTCCAGCAGCAGCCAGAGGGCGGCGGAATTCCTCCAGAAGATCAACGGTGCCTTTGACGCCAAGACGTACGGATCGTACCCGGAACTCGTCGTCGACCCCAACGTCGACATCATTTACGTGGCAACCCCCCACAGCCACCACTTCCAGAACACCATGCTGGCGCTGGAGGCCGGCAAGCACGTCTTGTGCGAGAAGGCCTTCACCGTGACCGCTGCCCAGGCCCGAAAGCTGGTCGAGACGGCCAAGGCGAAGAAGCTGTTCTTGATGGAGGCTGTGTGGACACGATATTTCCCGCTGAGCATCAAGGTTCGAGAACTCATTACCTCTGGCGAGATTGGCACCGTCTTCCGAACAATTGGTAAGCTCCGAATCAAAAAGGCGAAAGCACAGAAACACAAGGAAGAGGGGAAACAGACTAACTTGTAAACCAGGTGACTTGTCGATCAACTCAAACGCAGAGGAGGGCAGCGGATTGAGATTCGCAGACTCTCATCGGATGGTCAACCCCGACCTCGCAGGCGGCGCAACTCTCGATCTTGGAGTTTATCCCCTCACCTGGGTGTTCCAGACGCTGTATCACTTACAGCCAGAACAAGACAAGGAGGCCCCAACCGTGATTGCTTCCAGCAACAAGTACACCACCGGCGCGGACGAGAACACGGCCATCATCTGCAGCTTCCCCGGCCACAACAGTATCGGCATCGCCTCGACGACGATGCGAGCAGACACCGACCCCGAGGGCGTCGTCCCGGCCGTCCGCATCCAAGGATCCAAGGGAGAAATCCAAGTCTTCGCCCCGGCCTACCGGCCGACCAAGTACAGGGTGGTCAAGAAGAACGGCGAGGCCCAGACGGTCGACTGCCCCCAGCCCACGGACCCTGCGCGCAACAACTGGGGCCACGGCATGTTCTGGGAGGCGGACGAGTGCGCTCGCTGCTTGCGTGACGGCAAGTTGGAGAGCGCCACGTTGCCCTGGAAGGAGAGCATCGTCATCATGGAGACGATGGAGGAGGCGCTGAGGCAGGGAGGCATCACGTATCCGGAGCTGATTACCACGGATGTGTACGACCCCAAGAGCCCTCTCAACACGGGCAATCAGTGAAGAAGAAAAAAAAGGGAGAGTGGAGACATACGTAAATATAAGAGCAAAAAACAATCAATCCATGGTAAATTGGAAAACGCCAAAAGGCTGGGCTGCCGTGCTAGCAGCTTCGAGAACATGCGTCTTGACGTACCGTATGTGACAAGTGACATGCACCCATATACAGAGGAAGTTTTAGATCCGGCACCCATCCCCTGACACGATGGATTGCTCAATCCCACACAGCATCGGGCGTAGTCTATTGTAGTCAAGTGCTTCGTATACAAGTGACAAATGACCCGGCCCCTGGGCTATGAGCTACCGGATATCCCATGCACGAACAGCTCTTTTGCGTAAAGGCGATATCTCTACCCCATATTTCATCTTCCAGGCTGTCTCACCTCTTGTTCATCAAATGACTGAATTTCAAATACTCGTAGTAGCCAACTACGGAGTACACGATAAGGACATGCCGTCTACGATGGAGTCTATGGAGTCTCTAGGTACCAGGTAGTACTAATACGAGCTACGCTACTACGCAGAGCAATTGTTCATCCCAACTACATTGAAGTATCCATGACCCTTTCCGGGGGGGCAAATGTCCACATCCGCCCATGTCCTCCGCCCTCCCCGAGGCTGTACCTGTACCTGTACTTGTACAAGCATCGCAAGGGTGTCCCAAAACAACCACTGCACTGCAGATTGCCAGAGTGTAAAAAAAAGAATACATCACAAATACTTATCTCGTCAAAAAAAAAGAATCACCAGCAAGGGTCCTCCATCTCATAACGCACAACAACCAAAAAAAAAAAAAAAGACAGAAAACGACAGATTAGCTTCCCCCACGCTGCCGTAGCGAAAAAAATATTGTTCCGCCAACCCAAATTTTTTGTTACGGGCACGCCCACCCACGGATGAATTTCTTTTTTTCTCTTTCTTCTTTTTTTCCTTTTGTGAACCCACAGCACGGGATGGACTCCCCACTTTCCGTGTTTGAAACTTTGACGACCGACTTACTTTTTTGATATCGTGAACATTCAAACCGAGGGGGCCATTTTATACGCAGATCAGGTAATACGGCCAGCAACACAGATTTGGATAATCTGATTCATTCTGTTCATCGCTCATACTAACATCAATTCATACCTACATCTGAGCCAATCACAATTTACTTCTCAATTTCCCGTCCTCATCTCAAACAGCAATCCCAACCCTCCTCAAAACACCAAAAACTACCACATCACAACTCATCCCCACCCTCACCCCCCAACCAAAAAAAAAATCATGCAATCCTCCTCCCCCGAGGCCTACGAAGCCACCCACGTCCACTCCGTCTACAACGCCATCGCGCCGCACTTCTCATCCACCCGCCACAAGCCCTGGCCCCTCATCTCCTCGTTCCTCACCTCCCAGCCCCCGGGCGCAGTCGGCCTCGACGTCGGCTGCGGCAACGGCAAGTACCTCCCCGTCAACCCCAGCCTGCACATCTTCGGCTCCGACCGCAGCGACGCCCTCGTGTGCCTCGCCCGCACCGAGCGCAACGGCGAGGTCGTCGTCGCAGACGCCCTGAACCTGCCCTACCGCCAGCGCTCCGTCGATTTCGTCATCTGCGTCGCCGTCATCCACCACCTGTCTACGCGGGAGAGACGCCAGGAGAGCATCCAGGCCTTGTTGGATTGCGTCCACAGCGGCGGGAGAGTGCTCATATACGCCTGGGCCTTGGAGCAGAGTTCGAGCCGTAGGGGTTGGGACGAAGGGTCGGAGCAGGATACGATGGTGCCCTGGGTGATGCGCTCAAAGGGCAAGCCGGATGAGACTTTCCAGCGATACTATCACTTGTATCGCAAGGGAGAGCTGGAGGAGGATGTGATGGCGGCAGGAGGCGCAGTTTTGGAGAGCGGTTATGAAAAGGACAATTGGTGGGTGATATGTGGCACCCAAGACTGAAGATACACCTCTTCTAAGATAGTACTTGCAAAAATGATACCTGGGCAGCAGCCTAAACGACGAGACCTCGAGAATATAGTATTCCTTGATTGATACAAAGTAAACGCTGCAGACATGCGGTGTACTAGCTACCTAAATAAACAAAACAAGAGTGGCTGCGTGCCCAGTGTATGCCAATGCCATTTCCTTCATTCCAAATAAAACGCCCATCCGCTCATGTTTCCTGCTCTTTGGCGTCTACCCAGCGGATGCCCCAACATGGATGCCCAACATGTCCCGTCATCACCTCCTGTCGGTTCGTCTCATGTACCTCTAAGCCATATTAGAATGCCCATCATGTACCGGACCCCCAAAAGTTCAAAGCCTTTTCTTTAATCCAAGAAGCGCCTCTAGCCATATTCCGAAAGAGAGAGCCAAAAAGAAAAAAAACATAAGAAACGAGGTAAAAACAAAGCCAACATAAAACAGAGTCAAGACCAGTCAAATAAATCCAAGATCAAAAAATCAAAAATCAAAAATCAAAGCCGAGACAAAAGCAAATCAAACAAGACAACAAAACAAAACAAAGCAAAACAAAACAAAACAAAACAAAACAAATAGCAGCTGTCTAAGCGTCCGCGACCGAGCGTATTGTTCTGTTGATACCATCCGTCTGTATCGGTAAGCGTTTCCTGCTTTGAAACACGTTCCGTATGCCCCGTCTATTGACGTCAGGGTGAATGTTTGATCCAATGCAAGCTAACTTGCATTACCTCATTGAATCCATTCCGGTGTGAGTGTATAAGTGTGTAAATATGTGAGTGCATGTTCCTTTTACTTAAGTAACGAATGAATGGATCGTTAGTATCCATCAACTTCGCTTATCGTAAGCGGTTATTTTTTGTCTTCCCCCTTTTTTAGGTATGCGTGTTTTTTTTCCCTTTTCTTTTCATGATGCATGTAAATCGTTGGATAGAATGATGACAAGACAGTCTTATGCGAGCCTTCGCCTATGAGCACCATCGGGTCGTACCATATCGGGGCTCGCTCGTCGTTTCGTTCCTGCCTGCTCGAGGGGCACATAACGAGGCATCGAGGGAGTAGCAATCGCAGGCAGAGAGGTAGGCGTCGGTGGCCCGCTTGGCGGACCATATGGGCTCATCCCCGTGGTCAGCTGTGCAACACCTGGCAGAGGGCCGGTGTTGTGGGAGGACGGGTGAGGCTGAATCGGGGCCAGCCCAGGACCTGGGCTACGGCGGTAGTCGCCGAGAGGGTGTGCCAGAGCGGCAGCAGGCACCGGTGGCGGCGGCTGCTGCGGAGCCGGTGGTCCTGGTACTACTGTGTGGGGGGAGGGATGGGGTGTCTGATGCATGTGTTGCGGAGGTAGCATTGGCCGCGTTTGCTGTGGGGGAGGTGGTTGTGAGTTGATAGGTCCTCGTCGAGGAGTTCGCGCCGAGGCCATGGGGGGCATAAGCTGGCTGCGGCCGTAGCTCGTGGGAGGAGACGGTGGCCTCATTTCACGAAGAGTGCTGTTATCCTGCGGCTGAATCGGAGCCTGAGCTCGACTTGCCAACGCCCTGTTGCTCGACGACTCACTGGTATTGACAGCGGCGAGAGAGAAAGGAACTACACCAGCTCGGCGAGCCATGTCTGCCTCCCCAAGCTGCCAGTGCATAGCTTCGGCTGCTCGCCAGGGGACGGCCAGCTCTTCAGCTACCTTGGCCCACATGTCAGACTTGAATCTAGGAGTTGGGAATGTTAGCCAATCTTGTCATGACGAAGTCATGGAGATGAAGATGGAGATGGGCGAAGGGTAAGAAGAAGATCGACAGGCTCATGTAAAACAAGAGCTTCTTCCTTGCCATGACGCAGTCACACACATACCTCTCATACAGCCTGGCAAGCTTGTTCTTGCGCTCCTCATCCCACTCGCTCCGTCTCTCGAGGTAGTTCTGATAGTGAAGCCGGCAACTGATGGCACTGCGCCCTGGAAGTCGCTTTGAAACATCTTCCCATTTCATTCCTCTGCCCCGCAGCTCAATGATGATGGCATCCTCCTCGGGAGACCACTTGCTTTGCTTCTTGACTGGCTGATCCGGGACGTGAGGCGTCATACTGCGCCTGTTGCTCGGGATGAGCGCTGGAGCTACAGCCGGAGGCCCAACACGCGGAGGTAGGAGATCATGAGGAGTAGTCGTGGGTGTTGACGGTACAGAGGCAGGTCGAAGCTGTCTTCTGGGGGACGGCACGGGGGATTCGTTTGAAGCGTTTGAGGAAAACCGAAGCAAGGAGGTGATATCCACGGGGCTGGCTGGCAAGCCTCTGCCGCCCATACGGGGCCGGTCAGCAGATGCGCCAGGACCGCGGATCAGGTCGAAACTGCCGTGTGCGACCACGTTGAACGACGTTGGTGGCCCTGCCTGCAGGAGGCAGAGCGGCGACTGGCTCTGGAGTTGAGCCAGCTCAGCGACTGCCTGATTAAGCCCCGGCGTGGGCTATGCAAATGAGGCGATGAAAGAGGCCCGGCGGTAGCAGGACCCAGTGAGGTGGCAAAGCTGGGTCAGCAGCAATGTGGCAGGCACACGCAGTTCGAAGATCGTCGATGTGTATCCTCGGCCTGGTTGGGTTGCTGCTACGAAAAGGACCAGAGAAGGCAGCAAACGAGACTAGGCGGACTCGCGTTGTGTGGGATGAGAGAGGAACCACGGCGCCAGAGGCAGGAACTGCAAGGAGGAAGACGGGACAGCTTGTGTGTCCTAGTGTTGACAAGATACAATAATAAGCACACGGGAGTTGGTGATAAGCAAAAGAGTCGAGGCCCGGATGTGCCAACTTTTAGGTACCGCGAAAGGGGGGGGAAGAGCACGAGGGAAAGAGAAGGATGGTGCTGTCTCAGAAATGAATACAATGGGCTTCTGGCAACGAGTTTATGAAGACAAAATACCAACATGATTGGCGTGCCGGGGGGGTTCATGGAGCCAATGGGGGGGACATGAGAGGAGTCGATGAAGCAGAGCATGGCCCGTTGCCGCCGGGCCACTACGTCAAGACCAGACAAGGACCCTGCCCACTAGATCGGGTTGCCGTGCCTGTAGGAAGGAGAGAGGCCTTGGGAGAGTCACAAGTTCCATCTCGACAGTCCCATGAGAGAGGAAACGTCAGATATGCTAGGCAGGGGTGGCGAGGGACCCAGCGCTGGGGACAGGGCGGACGCCAGTCGGGAAGCCACTTTGTTGGTGCAGACGAAGGAAGCGGGCAAGCAATTGAGCAGCCCAGGGGTGTCGAAAGAGAAGAACAAGAGCCAAGAGACGAGCTGATTGGCTTGCCGACACAAGCTGGACTGGGGGAAACAGAGAACGGTGGGGAGTGTGAGTTGGGAACAAGAACGTCCAAGGGGGGGGCCAAAAAAGATGGCATGTTGGTGGCCCTGGACTGGTTTGCATGCATGGAGAAGAAGCAAGCAACATGATTGAGCCTGGGGTTGTGAAGCTAGGACGGGCCCGAGCAACATAGGGCTAGCTCCCGGTAAATAATGAATCAATTAATAAACACTGGCGCTAGATTAAAAAGAATGGCCCGGTAGTGAGGCGGGAGATTGAGGAGGGAGACGGCTGATGGAAAAGGACAGCACGGCTCGCGGTGGACAGTGTCCGGAATAATACTGACGGACTGACCCCAGACCAGGCCAGGTCAAGTTAGGGCGGCATCAAAAGGAAGAAGAGTGAAACAGGGAAACAGGGAGAAATAGAAGGCGTGGAATAAGAGAGAACGAGAGAAAAGACGGGGAAAAAATTAATAAAAGAAAAAAGGAAAGGGAAACACAAACCAGCACACAGAGCAGGGGAGGGGGTGCGGCTGAAGACACAACCAGCAAATAGTCTCCAAGCCAAAAAAGCAGCGAGACCAGAAACCCAGCTTGCTCGAGGCACTCTCCAGCTGTTGAAGCTCAAGTCGGTGAGCAAGAAAGAGCATGGCGGTGGCTGTCTAGCCGTCGAGAAGCCGTCAGGCGAATTGCATGGAGACGTCCATCGGTAGCTAATCAGAGACTCGCTGGTCTTGGTCTTGGGCTGTTGCAAAGTGGAGGATGCCGAGTCGGGTTGGGAAATCTGGCAACGTCGTGGCCTCTCGTTTGCACCGTTCGTCGAGTGGCTGAAGAGAGACAGTGGCGGGACCGCGTGGGTTCAAATGCCGGGCGGTGCGTCATTGAACGACCGAGTTTCCATACCATTCTGCCCATGCATTGCCGCAGTAGAGCAGCGGTTTGTCGTCGTCGTGTTGTCGAGCCAAGCCCCTGGCTTGTGTTGTCTTCGAGGTCGTAAGCATGAGCTCATAAGCATGAGCTCATCTCATATGAGCACGGGCACGAGCACGAGCATTGAAACTGACACTGGCGTCGGCATCGGTATTTGCCTCCATCAACCCAGAGGCATCCCAAATCCGCGCTGGCCTGGCCCAAGACACGCATCAGCACCAGACACTGAATGGATGGCTTCGTTTTTTGTGCGTTGTGTGCATACCTGTGCTGTACCGCAGCAAGACAACCAAATACCTCTGTACACACACAGCGGGTCCGGGTGCATCGCGCCTTACGGCCTTGCATTTGGGTATAAAGATAGATTAGTAGTATTACATATCCTGGCAGCATTGATGCTACCATGCAGCTGGTCGGGAACCCGTCTTTCGATCCATATTGCAAGGTTGAAAAACTCCAGGGTTTGGGAGAAGGGGGGAGGGGTGGTAGTCTGTACTCGTACTTTGTACCAGACAGCAAATGCATTGACGGGATGCGGCACAGAGTACCTCAGCGGTACCCCGTGCGCCGCGGCCGCGGCCACTGGCTCCAAGGTACTCCCCGGTAGCGCTGGCCACCGTTTCAACTGGCCCAGATCTTCAGCGCACGCCCCCCTCCAGCTCCTTCCAACTGGTAGCCCCATTCTCCCCCCCTTGTATTCTGTACATCAATGTCGCTTCAAATAGCCCGCCAATAGGCTGCGGCCTGGCCACTTGCAAGTCAAGGTATC